ATAAAAGTGTTTGCCAATCGGAGACCTGAGGTCCTCCCTAGCTTTCCGCCGGAGACCTAAATCACAAAAAAGGACAGCGATTCATTCTCACAACTTTCCAAAGATTTCTAAAAACCTTGTCTACTCTTTGTTGCGCAACTTTACGCCAGTTGGGGGCTGTTCATTGGCTCGCTTAGAAAAATAGGTTTATATGGATATGTTGAAGTTTTTTAAAAGAATTATTGCGCAACTCCGCATTGAAACAAACTCTTACCAGCACTGGAGCAGATTTCTAGACGGTTATAGAGTGCTCAGGGACTCAGTAATTGAGTACTGAATAAACAAAAATAGTTAGGCCGCATAGGTGAGCAACCCGTGAAGGAAAGGAGAGCTTCAACATTATTGTTATTGAGGGAGCGATTATAACTGAGAAGACTCCACAGGATCTAAAAATAATCATAGAAAATCAGACGTAAAGGAGCTAGATTCATTAGCTGCTTGAAAATGCGCATATGGCCAGGGATACTCAGGAAAAAGTGCTTTGTCAAATTATGAGCCAGCCTACATCCGCTCATGCTGGTCTCACATCTGCCATCATTTTCAATTATTAAGCGCCTTTTAGCTAAAACATTATAAAGTATGAGAATCTCAAATTTGAGAACAGCAACTTTTAAGTCTTAGCCGGCAGAGCTCTGGATAAAAAAGATAAGGTACTATTTACACCAGGTGATGGTTATAGTGACTGTCGCTAGCTTATCTCTAAAAAAATCAGGAAGTTGTAAATAGAGAACAAGACTTCCCTTCCACCTCAATATCTCGTGATAGAAAGATGAACAGAAACGAGCATAGATACAAGCGCCTTGCGCGTTAGTTCAAGGATTATTGAAACAATTATCCGCTGTATTTTTTTGACGGCTGAAATACATTATCCAAGTTTTAAAATTTTGCTCTTAATGTGCATCACTGATGAGCCAACTTCTGCCCAATTTTCCGTAAGATGACCATAGCTACAGAAGCACAGTTGTGGTATCATATACATATGGCTTTCTTGTAAAGTATAAATTGACTTGTGCAATAAATTCTTCTTTAATATTGTTTCTTCACAATACACAGTAAAAGCAGAACAAATTATCAGTCAGCCATGCATCCTACTTTGCCAACGGGTGCCTCTTTAGAAGGAAGGAAGAAGAGACTTCCTGGAGGAGTAAAGCATACAGCGTGGAACTCGGTACCTAAGTTTGCATTCACATGAAAAAAATTGCGATTAGAAGCACGGAAAATATTAAATAAACCTGGAAACTTGATTCCCGCCGTTTGAAGAGGTGCGTTGGGTGCCCAGTATTTTGCAGTAAAGCCATTAGGACAGGCGAAGGTAAACCTAAATTAGTATTAAAACAGTAAAAATTTACATGCTTATAAATGACTGCTGCTCCATTATCGGTATTTTCTAACGCAGGGGTGATATTAGGTACAGCCTAGGTTAGATATAAAATTGTCAGTTGAAAATTAGTTAACCGTCTTTTCTCTATTTTTCCATTCAGTGTTAACCGAAAAAAACTTTAACAAAAAGAAG